TACCACTTGTGGACAGAAGGGGAAGGCGGAGAGCACTGTGGACGGGGCAGGTGGTGTGAGTAGGCGTGTGGGGTCAGTGAGGAGGCCACCCCGGTCCGCTCGGCCAGTGTGGGAGGTGCGAGGAGGCGCTGAATGCCGGCCAGGTGGCAGGGTGGCAGGGACGTCGTTCTGCACACAGCGAGCAGGAATCGTGGGTTTTTAGCTGGGAGGCGCCAGCACCGGTGGCTGTGTGCAGGAAGGGAGGAAGGCGGCCCGGGAGACAGGCGGAGGTGAGCGCTAACCAGGGTGCTGGGCGACCCTCGGGGCGAGTAGGCCGGCGAGGACGCTGTCCAGTGCCTCTCGCTGCCACTCAGCCGCCCGCTCGCTAGAAAGCTCCGTGGACGGGCCATGAGAAAAGAACCGTGTTTTCGGTCGCGACCGTGACCGATGCCCGTCGAGGCCTCCTCCTGTTCCGTGTGCGAGCAGCCGTGCGCGTGCCTGTCCCTGATGGGCGAAGAGCAGCCTGGTTTCCTCAACTGGAGCGTTAGACTCCGTCCGTGTGCTCAGTCTTTATTTTGCTGCACGTGCTTCAGGGCTGTGTGCCTGTTCCTAAAACAAGTGGGAGAGGGGACACTGGCCGTGAGGCCTCAGACCCACGGGGCTTTAAACTGTCAGGTCGTCAGTCTCCAAAGGAACTGTGACGAGGATTCGGTACCAACAGATCAGTTCACTTTCTTGGGGAATCGACCATCTCACATGGAAAGACATGTTGCTCACTAAACTAAGGTACCTGTCAAGCAAAGGACACTCGTTTCCAAGTCCCTTCTCATTTAGCTGTCCTCAGGTGCCAGGGCGGGGCACCTCACGCTCACAGCCCTGGCTTCATCCAGACCCCCCGTTTGTCTCTCCGGGATGCCTTGGGCAGCTTGCGTGGGCCGTAAGCGCAGCAGGACGGAGGGCCCAGTCAGGAGGCTGAGATCCTTAGGAAAGACCAGAAAGAGGGAGCGAGTCCAGACTAACGGAGGGGTCTGCGCTGACGGGGCGGCCAGGTCATTTAGGCCAGGTGTTTTCAGGGTCGGTCCGGGCCTGTCCCTGCTGGAGGGCGGGGAGACCTGGCAGCAGGGACTCGGGTCTCCTCCACTCCTTCTTCAACCAGAACCATCTCCTTTTATCAGTTTTCTGTCCATATCATTTTTATGTTTCATGTAAGTGATACTTTAAAAAAAACAAAAGGCTAAAAAAGTAATGTCTGGCTCAAGTGACAAAGGAAACACAAGTCCCAGACTAGGCAAAAGGCTAAAAAAGTAATGTCTGGCTGTTCCCTCAAGTGACAAAGGAAACACAAGTCCCAGACTAGGGACATGCTTTTCCTGAGCCTTGAGTCATTAGTAGATGACCTGGGGTGACTTTTTTTTTCAAAACTGTGTGGTCACAGAAGTGCCATTCTGGGGAGGAGCGGAGCGGTCAGGAGTCACGGACCCTCACTCACGTCCGTGTTGCTCACACTTTGGTGTTATCATTGTCGGTGGTCAGGCGGGAGTGCCTAGCCTTGGGAGAAGACTCCTCACAGTCTGGTCCCCGGGCCATGTCACTTCAGTCCCCCACCTCACCCCCCCGGGGCATCTGAGGCTCTCTCCAGCCCTGAGCAGGCTCTTGCCTGGTCGTGAAACCTGGGGATCAGAGAGGCCCAAGCTGAATGAAAGAACCCAGAGGGTGACTGTGTCCCTGCCCGATCTCAGGCCACAGGCTGCCTGCCAGTCTGTTGGCTAAGTCCTCTCTGGATTAGCCCGAGGCAGTCGGGTTGTTGGTATTGAGACGCCAAGGGGGCACAGGGAGTAAAAACGATGGTGTGAAAACTGGGTCCAAGTCATTGCTCTGCCACTTAATGACCATTTGGCCTTGGACAGGTTACTTAGCCCAGCAGTCCTCAGCTTTTTTGGCACCAGGGACCGGTGCTCCTATGAGAATCTGATGCCTGATGACCTGAGGTGGAGCTGGACGGTGAGGCTGGCGCTGGGCAGCGGCTGCAAATACAGATGAAGCTTCACTCGCTCTCGCTGCTCACCTGCTGCTGTGCGGCCCGGTTCCTAACGGGCCACTGACCGGTACTGGTCCACAGCCCGGGGGGTTGGGGACCCCTTATCAGCCACTTTGGCCTCCGTTTTTTATTAGTAAATTGGGGGATCTCATAAAATCATGTCTGAAATACGCTTGGCGCTGTTTTCACCATTTCTACGCGCTCTGCTCCACTGGGACCTTATGAATTGTCCTGCAGGGTCACCAGCTCTCCAGGAGGAGAGTGGAGAGTCTGGAGCACTGGCGAGAAAGGCTTAAAGTTTAGAGGTTCTCCATGGGCCTGCCCGGTGGCCAAGGGGAAAGCACTCCCACTGTCCCGGTGTCTAGGAGTTGTGACCCCTGCTGCTGCTCCCCAGGTCCTGTAAAGAGCACTCCGAATGTGGGTTTTGACCTTTTGACCACCCAGCAAACCCGTCAGGTAATTGTTGAGTGGCTCCTCTCCCGCAGGAAGAAGCCTGCGTCTGGTTGATTACCAACCGCCCCTAACCCCATCCATCTGGGACTGTAACCAGGTAGTTTAATAAATCAGAAGTGTGTAATTGTGTCTGGTGTGGGTGGATCGTCTTTCTTAAGACTTGGGTAATCTTCACTGCTTTATTTTTTAACTTAAGATTTAGGACAGTGATTTTATACGTGTATTCATACATATTGTATGTGTGTATACATACACACACACACATCCACTTTCCTTGTCCTGTGAATCGCATGACAGAAGACAAATACTTTGCACCTCATCCCCTTAACCCCCCCCCAAAAAAAAATTTAATGAGCCGCCAGTAAACAGACAGGACACTTCAGGGAGGAGGGTGGCGTCTCCAGAAACCAGAGCTGTCCAAGTGTTAGCACTGCCTGGAGAGACCAGCCCGCGAAGTCACAAAGCTGATGGAGAATGTTTCTGTAACACTTATGCACTTAATAAAGACCCTCACCGCCCACAGCCCTGCCTCGGTGGGTCCTTAACAACCGTCCTGCGGGAGAGGCGCTGGCAGGTCCACGTTAGTCTGTCGTGCACCTGGGGATCTCAGGCTCAGAGAGCTCAGGCGGCTGGCCGGGGGGCACAGAGGCAGAGCTGGGGCTTCGCTGGGCTGCTCGGTGACTGACTCCAGTGTTCTGTTGCACGTGGTTCTGCCAGCTAGGGGGTCTCGGGCAGGGGCTCGTCGGGAACATAGTGGAGGGCATTCTGGGTCGGCCTGGGCAACTGCCACGTGGTCGGAGGGGCCACATTTCTTCCTCACTAATCAGTCTGCCTCGATTGGCCGATATCATTTCATTTCTTTGAGGCGGGCTCTGGACTCTCGCTTCTCTTTCAGATAGAGGTAACAAGAAGAGGGGCGCAGTCACCCCAGAGCACCTCATACAGGAACTAGGTCGCCTTCTCCCTGATGGGGAGCTGGGGCAAAAAGAGCTTCACTCAGCAGACCTTCAGTCACTGAGTCCTCTTTCTCGGGCTCTGTACCAGGCCCTGGGAATATAGAAGTTAACCTCACACAGACCTTGCCCGCGAATACCACAGAGGTGCATGGGGCAGGCGGGGTGGTGTGACACGGTGCTGTTGGCAGCGGGAGAGCAGCTCACTGTCCTGGGGATAGTTCAGGCTCCTGGGGACGAGCAGCCGAGGGATCAGTGTGGGCCACATGGAAGGGTACAGGTCATGTAGGGAGCAAGGAATAAGCTGGGCCAGTTGGTCCACGGACCAAAGAAAGGAGGTCTCAGAGTATTTGGGGACTAGGGATGTCAGGTTGGATTTGGGGGGTTATGAAGAGTTTTAAATGAAGGAAGAGTTGGAGAAATAAGATTCGATATGCTGGGCTGAGGCATTTGTCCTTAACCCTGTGGGCATTGAGGAACTCATGCAGGGTTCAGACAGGGCGCACGGAAGTCAGGGTTAGAAAAATGAATTGCTCTGGCACATTTTGAGAGAAGGGACAGAATGGGGAAGACCAGTTACTAATGCAGCAGACCAGGTGAGAAATGCTGAGGGCGGGGTGCCGAAGGCATGAGCTGCTGCTGGGAGTGGGGAAGGGTCAGATTTAAATTTCGAGGTGGAGTTAGTGACTGATTGTGTTTGTGGTGTGAAGGAGAGAAAAAAAGTCAAGAGTGACTCACAGGTTTTTATTTGAGATCCGTCTCCCTTGTTTTATGAAGCTTTGCAATCCAGATGCTAAAGATTTTTCCTTAATGGCAAGTTTCAGAGTACACCCTCAGCTCACTTGCCAAATCGTGCCAGCTTGGGCTTTACAAACTGGTAAACATTTCTCCTTTTTTTTGGCTGACATCTCATTTCCGTCTTTAAACTTCTGTTCTGAAATTATTATGGTAATGTTTGTACTTCAAGGAATTGATAAGAGCCTGGTACGTTTTAGACACTCAGTAAATGAACAATCAAATAAACGAGATCGCCCGTCACTGTCGACCTGCAAGGTCACGATGTTCATGGTGGAGTGGTGGGGTGGGCATGAAAAGGTGGCTTTTGTGATTCTAGAGCACTTTATGCATTTGTGAAGCAATGTTTGGTATTAGACGGGTAAAATACAGAATTCAGCAGAATTTTCAGTGAAATATAGCCAGATATCACTCTACACTACGTGCACTGACCACATTGGTCATACCTGGTTATTACAGCAGCCACGGGCCGATGAGGTAATCAGGCAGATCGCAGTGGAACAGGTTGCATTCTCTTCCCTTTAAGCTTTTGCCCCCCGAAATATTCTGATCTGGACGTGGACTGTATTACGTGACTTGCCCAGGATCCCAGGCGTGCCTGGGGTTCCACTTCTTTCTCTGGACTAATCCAGCTCCCAGCCTGGAGCCTAAGCACACACTGCATTAATCAGACTTGCTGGAATGATCACATGGTTTTCTAGCTGCCTCCCCTGTTAGCTGCCGCTTGTCAGCAGCTGGCGGAGCTGGAGGCTGCAGGCCCCTGTCTGCAGAAAGCCTTTTACTTCAGAATATTGTGGGTGTGTGGAAACCCCGCCTCTTTTTTTCTGCACTTCGCACCATCTGACTGGCTAAATGGTTGTCCCCCAAACCAAAAAGGCTACCAGACAATCTAAGGAAATTGTCTCTGACTAGGTCATGTTCGCATTTGAAGAATTCAGGTATGTTCTGGGTTTTCTACATCAGTCCGCTGCTGGGTTTTTGTTCTCGTAGGTTTTTGCTGTGTAATGACAGCTTAGGTTCCGGCTGGTTCTCACACGAAAAGAGGAATCTTTTCTGCATTTGGTGGGGTTCATCCCGGTCGTGGGGGTGGGAGGTGCAGAGATGGTGCAGGTCTGGGATGTTTACTGCATGCACAAATGCAGCATGGATAATTGGTTCGGTGGTGTGTAAATTCGCCGAGGGACCCCACCTTGTGCCTCCTTCGAGCTGCCGTTGCCGGTGTAGAGTTATGAATACAGAACAGCAACTGTTTGTCCAGAACGAGTCTCTTGCTGTCTTTTGTTTTTCTTCCTTTGTCAAACTCATGGAGTCTACTGCTCTCTTAAAAATGCTCATCGTAGTGGCCAAGGTGAAAAATTCTGCAAGTCTGTCTGCTCGGCCGAGATTTGTTTTTGGCTCTGATGTTCCTCATTGTCAGTAGCGATCTCATGGCTGGGCAGTCTTCTGGGAAGTGCCCCGATGATGTTTTGTTAACAGGGTCCTTCTTTGCTTTCGGAAGCCTTTCAGCTGCTGTAATTATTAATGCTCCACATTAGTCTTTTGTGAATTCTCCTCCTTCTCTTTCCTCCATCTCTTCTCTGGGAATCTGTCTCTGGGCGTGAATGTGGGAAGGATGTTCCAGCAGAGACAGTTTCTAAGACATGAAAATGAAGGTGGTGGAATGAGGGGGTCATCCGATCATGCTTGTGTCTGTTTCCACGTCTTTGGAATATACGGAAGAGAGTACGCGTGTGTGTGTCTGTTTCCCACTCGGACAGCTTCTCATTTCTCAGATGAAATTTCTGTATTTTAGAACTGAGCATAAATACCACATTGATGGGCAAAGAAGTGATTGGGTGGGGGCCTCAGTTCTACCTCTGCAGGCCCTGTTTGTTCCCTCCAAATGTGGCTCCTAGACATTAAAATGATGATAGAATAAGCACTTGTCATTATTTGTAAGAGGAAACTAGAGACATTTTCATCAAAACCAAGGGAGCGGATGAGAAGATCATTAGCTTCCCATGAAGAGCAGGGCCACGAAGTGTGTCCCCTGCCTCTTCTGTAAACTTGGGGCTTTTTTTTAACCAGGAAGTTATCTTTTGTTTGAGAGTATTTCCCTGCATTATTTCTGATGAACTGGGCTTGTGAAAAGGACATTTTTTGCATATGGTAATGTGCTCTGGTGACACAGGGCCTATCCTGTTAGACAGTGACCAGGACTTATTGTTTCTTAACAGCTCCGTTAATAACTAACAGGAACTTATTTAATACTTGACATGCTACAGTAGATTGGTCCTTAGGGAATGAAACAAGGGTCCTGGGTTCGAATCCCAGTTTCAAAATTAACTTTTCTGATCCTTGTGAGAGTTCCAGAAGAATTTTGTAAATTATAGGAAGTAGTGTGATTGTGAAGTTCAGATGTTATTGTCAGTGTTTATTCTAGGTGGAGTAAGCCTTAGCCACTGCCTCGAACAGAGCTTGGAGCCTTTCGCTGCATTTCATAGTAACGGAAGAGGGACCTGTATCAACAAAGCCCTCCTCGCTGTGGTGGGCTCTTAACCCACGAGCCAGGAGCTGCGTCCGATGAGGTGGGAAGGGGCCAAGTTACAGACCACTCACTGCTGACTGAGGAAGTGGTGCCTTCTAGAAGGCAGGCCAGAAAGGAAGTCTCTTGCCCCTGCTTCAGGCTTCTGCCTGAGTTGGCTCTGAGGAACTCTGTGGGTATGGCTGTATTTTGTGACTGCTACACAGTGCCAGACATCTGCTTTCTTCTTTGGTCACAGGGTTTGTATGTGTGGGGGCCAGATGAGCACGGTGGGGCAACCCAGGCACCACCAAAGCACCCCAGAGCTTTTAGCTTAGGTCAAGGTGGTTCTCAAGCTGTAGAGCAGCAGAATCACCTGGAGGGCTCGTGGAAACGCTGACTGCGGGCACCCCGCCCCTGCCCCAGATGTTCCGATCCCACAGGTCTGGGACCCAGACTTTGAGTACCATTGGCTTGGGGAAAACAGATAGGTTATCACTGAGATGGGAGGTCAGAGGCAAAGGCAGAGGGAAGTAAGGCGGGAAAGAAATCAGGAGCCAGAGCAGCAGTTCACGCACAGGAAGGCGGGTGGGCCAGGGCCATGTTCATGGCGGGGTGAACCTGGGCCACGTCCTGGGAGGCCTCAGAGCAGGAGAGGGAAATATTGGGGTGAGAATCAGGGAGCCGAGCTTATGATCCTGGTTCTGCCACGTCCTGCCTTTGTGAACTGGGCAAGTCTCTTGATCTTTTCTTAGTCTCCATTTTCTCTGCTGAAAAATGGGGATAGCAGCTTCTGTCAAGAAAATCTATAACGCTGTCAGAACGAAGTGGGAACGTAAACTTCATCAGGTGCGACATGCTTAATACGTGAACGTAGAGGGAGGGCAGGGAGCTGGGGTGACTCCATCCGCTGAGCTGCACATCCTGGGCCTCCCCACACACACCCCCGCCCTGCGAGCATAGGGCCTCCCCACACGCACCTCGGCCCTGTGAGCATTTTAAAAAGGAAGTCTGATTTTGACAGACACGTGTGTATACTGTTATTCCCTGTTGGACTATGAGTTCTTGAGTACTTCTGTGAATCCTGTGTTTTTAACTTTGTTTCCTTCGCGCCAAAAAGGGCCTGACACACAGTAAGGCCTTGATAAGCGGTTGACACAATTTACTTTCACGAGGATTTAACAGAAAAGGAAATGCAAGCAAGCTATCCGACTAGCTTAGTGCAGGCCCGATTTTGGTGCCGCGGTCCCCGCTGAGTGCGCTAGTTCGGGAGGGCAAGTCCAAAAGCTGACAGCCGACCTCCTGAGACAAACGCGAAGTCCTCAGCACACCCCAGATGCTGGAGTGCCAGAGAACCCCACCGCAGTTCACAAGGAGTCCCTGCAGATGCGCTTACGCTAGAGCATGCCGCCGGCTGTGAGGGTTCAGGGTCCCGGCCCGAGAGAGTGAGAGGTCGGCCAGCGTTTGCCAGCCGTTAGGGGACTTCTGCCTGCCATTGACCACAAGTCTGTGTTGTTCTAACAGCGGGCGAGCTGTCGGAGCAGACTTTGTGGCAGACACACTTCACCTGTGCTTTTGCCTTTTTTAAAAAAACAAACAAACCGCTTAGATGAGAAGAATACCGAGATAATAGTTTAAGTGAACACTTAGCCGCTACTCTGCGCGCAGGATTGCCATCTGGGCACCCCAGAGCAGCTTCGTGGGACACTAGCTTTCCTCCTAACTCCAGACCCCAGCCGGTGACCACATTCCCTTACGGTCCCCAGAATGAAGAGTTTTAGATTTTTGGCTCCATAAGCCCTCGAATGAGAATGGAACCTAAATCAGAAACCACTGTTTCTCAGAAGTCGTGATACTTCGCCCGGCTCATTTCCAGAAGGGAGGTAGGTGGTCGACCAGCTCCACGACGGAAAAACGCACAGTTGGGATGCACCTGGCACCTGAGCGTGGGAAGATACTACTCTGAGTCTGTTTTGTTATTCGATTTTTAAATGTTGTGGAAGGGTTGAGGTTCAGACTCCAACTAGCTCTGTCTTTATTAATTCGAGTTTATGTCTAGTCCTGGGGAGTATTATACCTTTTCTCACCCTATCACTGGAGTATTGAAATGGGAAGACCTGAAGTTCAAAAGCCAGGAGAGCCCACCCGGCGTCCAGCGCCAGCTTGGTCCCTCTTGTTCCCCAGGGTCCTGGGACACCTCGAAGAAACAGATATCGGGTACAATGACCTTCCCACCGTGCTGTGGAAAATACGCCTCAGATCAACAGGAGGTGGAAACTGGGCTGGGCAGGAAGGGAAGGTATAGAACTTAATCGTTGAATACCTACTGTGTGCCAGATTCTGCCTGTTAGTTGCTTTGCCCATGGTAACTAACTTCAACCCACGAAACATCAATGAAAACAGGCTCAGGGACACAGACAGCTCCAAAATGTTGCCCTCTACAGACCGGTCCCCAGGAGCACCTGGTCGGAGGAAGTGGGCAGAGGGTGGAGAGTTGAAGGAGATTAAAATAGAGCAGGCAATGGGGAAGGACAGACAAATGTCATTGACTTGACAGTTCCGCCTCGGTTTGTCTGACAAGCCACAAGCAAAATGTTATTTTGGGAAACAAATAATTTAGCTGTTAGGCTGGCAAAGCAGATATAATTAAAAATATCAATCTATCCTCCGTTATTAAATGTGTTACGATTATTGAGTTTTACTCAGAGAGGCAGCGTGTGGATCGGAGTCCAAAGATTTGGCTCCAGTCGCACAATGGAAACTTAACAGCTGTGACTTTGGTAAGTTGCTTTATTCCTCTGGGCCTTAGTTTCTTCGCTTGTAGGAAAAGGGCTGCTTCGAGGTTAATATGTAAGAAAAGAGTGTATAAATTATAAAATCTTGTTAGACTGTTTGTATTTTATATTTTGGAATCGGTTTACTATTTAACCAGTTCTGGTGCTCCTTTCCAGAACGGCCCTTAGCCCCTTCTCCACCCTTTGCGTAGCATAGGAGGTGTCTCTTATGTTAAAAACAACAAATCAAAAGAAAACCGAGAAGAAAGACTTTAACTGGACTCAGTGAGAGGCGTGAACCCCAGAAGGGGACACCATCCTGGATCTGTGTGACACTTGCTAGCTATTTAGGATGATTGCAAAGGTATCTCCAGCGGGAGCTGAGCGGGGCCTTTTGTCAATTGCAAACCATTCATCCAAAAACACCTAGTAAATGTAAACCACAGTACGGAGCGGTGGGCCAGGAGGAGGACTCGTTTCGCTGTACTGGGAGGGAAGGGGGACTTTCAGGAGGAGGCGTCCCTTGGTGAGAGTCTTGGAGAAGCCTATGATCTGAGTGAATGAAAATAAAAGGAAGGGCCCTTGCGAGGCAAGCGGGAGCTGAGGCGTGGGGGCGGGGCTGGTAGAACCTGGGGAGGAGAGAGCTCTCTATTCTTCTCAG